TCCTATAAGCTTAAATAGTCTTGATCGCGAGGGTGCGAGATTGCTGAGTCCCCGTGGCTCACAGATTCTTCCAAAGGTGCCGATGTTACCGAGCAGGTGACGCAACCAGGCTCAGGAGGAGCTCGATGAAGATCTTGTCCTTTGTGTTGTTTCGTTCTAGTTGATCAGTAGTGGAGCCCAGTTGGGGTCGATCGGGGACCGTGTCGCATTTGGGGTTCTTCTTTTATTTTGGTTTCGTAGTCGGACCTTGATTGTATTTGGATGATGTAATGCTTTATTCATGTAATTGTGTGAAGTGGCGATTGTAAGCCAACTATGTATCTTTTCCCTTATGTATTACATGAGTTGTGTGAAGATTACCTCACTTGCGACATTGCTTTCAATGCGGTTATGCCTCTAAGTCGTGCTTCGACACGTGGGAGATATAGCCGAATCAAGGGCGTTACAGCTGACCAGCATGAGCACACACGTCGTATAAGCTCGATTAATGGATACAAACAAGAAATACATGCCATGTGAGCACCTTCCACTCCTACACACGGGAAATAGCATCGTATTTTGACGTCGAGGCAAGTTTGAGCATCGATTTCATGTATTTTAATTTTTACAACTTTAAAAACAGAAATGACCAGGTGTATGTTTAGGCTCCGGAGGGAGCGATGGACACCGTGAGAGAAGATATGTAAGGTAGTCCGGGAAGGCGGCCCTTTTGTTTACGCCCAAATACTGACAAATGAAACCCTACACGTCATAGTTAGACAGAGAGATTTATTTCGATAGTGGCATCTACTTTCATTTACTCCATTCGTCCCATAATATAAGAGCATTTTTGCTAGCATAGTGTCAAAAATGCTCTTATATTATGGGACGGAGGGAATAATATATTAGTTGGGTGTCCATACACCACAGAATAGTAAATTAAACACATATATATTTCAGACATAGCTCCAGTGTGAGTCTGAAACAACAATGTTCTGTTTGTTCTTTTCCCATTTCGTTGGCTTCGCTCATCCTTTGTTGGTGATAAACACACCAACGGAACGAAGAAAGAGCGGGGAAAACATTATTTCTAAACATGGACAATGACGTCGTCTCGTCGTCACTATTAGGAAAAACCTTATAGGTGGAAGCTTAACAGTAGCGCGGACCAAAGCCACATGCTACTGCTACTTTACAGTAGTGCGGGTCGAGAGTAAGCGCTACTGCTATCTAGAGTATTTACCAGTAGCACGGGTGGACCAAACAGCGCTACTGATAAGTGGGTCCCACCATACCCATCAGGATACGTATAGTTGTGCTTCCTCGTCGGAGTCCGTGGCCTGTGCAGTGTTGGTGCACGTGAGGTTGACGATGGACATGGACGGTCAGCCTCGTCAGTGTATCGGCGCCAACAATGCGCAGCTACCCGCATTCTCGTCCGCAATCGCTAGTGCCGCCTCCTTGTCTGAATGAGTCGTGGGCACGTTGCGTGAGGCGTGAGCATGCAGCCTCATATTGCGCCTGCTGATAAGCGACAAAGTTGGGGTTCTTCGCGACCGGGGCCGCCACGGCCTCCTCGCTCGCAAGCTCGCCGTAGATTTCTTCCTCTGCCAGCCGGTGCTGCACGACCAAGGAGAGGTTGTACCATTGCTCCTCCTGCGCATGCCATAACACCGACATCCGCTGCGGCGCCAGCTCTACTCTGCCATGGGAAATGATAAATGAGAAGATACTTGCTTCTCTTCCGCTTCTGCTCTGCGCATCATCATTGTCGGCCCACTTTTTTCATATTGCCCATATGCGCAAACATAATTCAGAAAAAAAATCATTGGCACAAACAGGTTCACAGTCATCAAGAAAGAACATACCAGTGGTAGAATCATATTAGCGCTCCATATTTATCTTGCAACCGAAAAAACAAGCTGAGCAAAATGCAAAGGCCTCATATTTGAGCTTTTAAGATGAGCGCACTCGATCAACTTTGCAGTTTGCACCCAATCCATTTCTGTTATCGATGTAGCTAGCTAACGGCGTCAGCCTTTGCTGTTATTTGTCTTTTTAACAGCAATAATGCTACACTTACAGATAGTTGATTAGGGACCAACGCTTATGGACAGATGTGGTAGTGTTTGCTTAGCCCAGACAAAAATCACGGAGGGCCTGCAGAGAAAAATCAGGGAACGGCTGCTCAAGACATCAGCCTGTAGCATTCTTCCGTGCAATTCAGTCCGTAATGCTACACTTACGGATAGTTGGTTACGAACCAGCGCTTATTGTTTTAACAGAGAAAGAAAGCTTGAGCGTTCACGTAATACTAAGGACATATACAATGGTTAATAAGATAATTTTATTTTAAGTCTTACATGTAATTTAAAGATGACAAAAAAAAAGAAAAACATTTAAATTAAGTCGGATGATAACTCTCTCCCGTAAGCCGCTCTTCCTGTGCTACACGTGGCGCTGTGGGGCCCGCCCACCACTCCAATCGCCTACGCCTTATCTTCTTCCATCCTTTCCCTTCTCTCGTTCAAAGCAGCATCACCGCAGAGGAGGAAGTGACAGTCGTCGGCCCATGGCTGATTCACCCTCACGCCGCCAGGGCTGCAATAGAGCTTCAACGGAGCTGCATCGCAGCATCCCCGCGCTCCACCGCAGATTCCGCCGTCGTCGCAGCTTCCGCCATGGCTGCCGCATGCCGCGTCACAACATCCGCTGTCATCGCCGGCGATGCAATGAGTGCGCCCGTGGCTGCAATGGAGGGTCGTCTAAGCTCCGCCGCGGCTGCAATGGATCACCGTTGGGGTCGTTCGAGCTTCGCCGTGACTGCAATGGAACTCCGCCAGAGCTGAAATGGAGCGCCGTCGGGATGCAATGGAGGGTCGCCGGGGGTCGTCGGAGCTTCGGCGCGGCTGCAATGGAGCGTCGGCGCGGTCGTTCGAGCTTTGCCGCGGTTGCAATGGAGCTCCACTAGAGCTGCAATGGAGCGTCGCCGGGACTGCAATGCAGCTTCGCCGGCGTCGACGGTGCTTCCATGGAGCTGCACTGGAGCTCCGTCGGGGTGTCGTCACTCGTCACTGCTGCGTTGAAGCTTTTTTTTTTTGCAGCTGTCGGTGCTACCATGGTGAGTATCGGCGCTGCGATGCAGCGGGACGCCGGCGACTCTTTTGGAGCTATGAAGCAGCATCTCCGGCGGCTCCGGTGCTGAGAGGTCGCCGGCGCCGTTGCCAATCCGTTGTTTTTGCTGCGCAAACCATGTGTTCGAGGAGGCGCGGTGTGGATTTGACAAGGGGCCGCTGCACCTTCATCACTGCAGAGAAGGACGCGGTATGAATCGGGGACAGACTGCTGCCATCGAACATCACAGGCGCCAGATCGGACGGCTGGCTAGCCGGATGATTTCCTGGGAAATCATCCGGCTCATTTATAGCAGCTGCTCAAAAAAAATGTTTACAATGGGTCATTTCTTACAGCCTGTTTGGTAAACACTTGGGTAAGGGAATAAAAGTTTGCACAAGGGTGTTTATGAAAGGATTAGGCACGGGAAGTAGATTTTTACTCCCATTTCCTTGTTTGGCATATGATGGGAATTGACGTGGGATAAAACTCTCCTCACGAATTAACAGGGTACCGCCGGGAAAGATATCAATGGGAATTGGCTTCCCCAACTCCGAGTCCCCTTCCCACTTAAACTCTCATTCCCTCTAATCAAACAGTGGATTTTTAATCTCCTTACCCCTCAACTCCCATTCCCCATCTCTAATTCCCCTGAACCAAACACGCTGTAATCTTATTTTCAATAACTAATTATTTCTAAAAACATGATGAGACATATTATGCTAAGAGATCATCTCTTGTCTTCTCTTAAATAAGAGAAGACAAGTCTTTTCTTACGAGTTCTCTCTTCTTCATCTTATAATTTATCCTAGTAGTGTCAAGAGCACTTTTCCGAAAGATGCCTCCTTCGATATCGATATTATTACGTGTAGATTGGAGTTGTGATGCAACCCGTACGCGTAGAAAACGGGTAGATTGGAGTTGTGATGCAATCCGGAGATTTCAACCATCGATTAACCAGATACCATCAGCCATCAGCACTCCGATGACTACTATGACTACCAACTCGGATCTCAAGACCGAGTCGATTCCCACCCACTCCATCGATCTGCATATATCACGTCTCCTCCATCAGCCCGTTTCCGCCTGTTTTACAAGGAATAGCCGTCCTTGATGGCCCTTGCTGCGGCGGCGCAGCCGCTGCTAGTACCCGACGACATCCTGGCATGCGTCCTCGGCCACCTCGCGCCGCGCAGCCTCGCCGCGTGCCGTTGCGTCTGCAAAAGCTGGCGCGCTGTCATCGACGACCGCCGCCTGCTGCGGGCAGACCTCCTCCCGCTCTCGCTCCATGGGATCTTCTTCATGGAGCAGCTCAATCCGACTCCCCCGAAATTCTTCGGAAGTCCGTTGATACAGCGCAAGATCTCCGCAGGCTTGACTACTTGGACACGGACTTCGCCGGTCATTTGTCTATCAAGGATCACTGTAACGGCCTTCTCTTGCTCTGGGATCAAGTCGTCGTTAATCCGGCGACACGGCAATGGGTGCGTCGGGATGGAGGACTTAGGCGTCGACATGTGCCTAGCTTTTGACCCCACCGTCTCGACGCACTATGAGGTGCTTCTCCTTCCTTACGTTCCTCGCATGCTTGAGCACGACAATGTTCGCCAAGGAATCGGCATGGCCGCCCTCTCCGTATGCAATACGTGTCTTCTCTTCAAGGACATGGCAATGGGAGGAGAAGTTGTTGGTCCAGAGAGGGGAGGCTGCTGGGACCATCGCCGACATGCAGTCAGATTGGCAGCCAGAGCATCGCTACACCGTCTACTGGCAAGGAGCGCTTTATGTCATTATGTGCATTGTCAAAATGACTTTATCATGCGGTATCCACTCACCACCTTAAACATGCATGCTCACTTAATTTTGGTTTTTGCTTTGCTGAAACTCATTGTATTATCTATCATAATATGTTCTCTTTTCCACTTGGTAATTGCAGCATAACCTTATCCCATGGAGAGTATGAAGTGATCAAATCGCCAACAGGCAGTAAAACCAAGCGTGCTGATCTTTATCTAGGGAAATCAAAGAAGGGGGTTTATTGTGCTTTAGTTCGTAATTGCAGGTCATACCGACTTCGGGTTTGGTTGCTTACCGAAGTATGTGGTAAAATGAAGTGGCGAGTGAAGATTGACATAAGCCTTTTGTCGGTGGTAGCAAAATTTTCTTGGATCTCCCGTGTTGAAAACTCTGGGCCGTGGATCTTTCATGAAGGGAATTGCAATAGAGATGGTGAAGAAGCACTAGTGGAAGATAAACTTGAATGGGACTTTGACAAGGCTACTGTTCTTGAGGGCGTAGATAATGCTGAAAGTGAGTATATGCATGGAGATATTTATTTCCTTGGGTTCCATCCATACAAAGAGATTGCCTTCTTGTGGGTATCAAGAACAAGAGTGGTTGCTTATCATTTATGTAGCTCGAATGTTCAAGATTTGGACGAGTTATGTCTACAAAGTGTAGGAGATTCTTTTCCATACGCACCATGTTGGACAGGAGAGTTATTTGAAAATAATTGATTGTGTGTACCCAACATCCAGGGCTATGTTTTAAATCTCATATGAATTGTAACTTATATTTGTGAATGCGGGTTCTTACAAGACATAAAAAAGGTGGATTGCAACATATCTTATCTATATTTCCTTTACATGTGTCTTCCTTTTTTTATCCATGAGATTGATACAAATTCCAGCCGAAGTCTAAGGTTATGATTGGTTCCCTGCTTCCCTCCCCCACCCCACCCCCCTCCACCCCTCTCAGATGGGCTTTGTGGATGCAATTTTAGGGTAGTTTGATTAGGTGGGCTGCATCGAAATCCTAGACCACACGAACTTCAATGCAACATGGGGAAACGGCCAAATCAACAGTTTCCACTCAACCAAACTCATCTCGTGCGGGAAGGGGAACACGATGTCGACTCATGCAGATGTCGGTGGGTTCCATCTTGATTACTTCAAGGTCCCAACGAATGTGGCCCGTTGATTGACTGTTTGGGGGTCCTCGGCCCAGCCCATCTCTAGGAGCCGACGTGGCTAGCACCTCCCTATGTAGGACACCATCTTAAAGCACCATGGGGAAAAGCCGAATCGACAGATCCACTTAGCCAGACTCATCTCGTGTAGGAAGGGGAACGCGACGTCTAGCTCATGCGGACAGGAGATGTGTGAGGTCGTGCGCGTGCCAAAAAAATTGATGGGAGTAATTTGGTCACCCCTCGCCAATTTGTCACCCAATTTAGCTCAAC